AGATACTGTAAATAGGTAGGTAGGTAGGTAGGTAGGTAAGTAGGTAGGTAGATAGATAGATAGATAGATAGATAGATAGATAGATAGATAGATAGATAGATAGATAGATTGATTCTGTAGATAGGTAGGTAGGTAGGTAGGTAGATAGAGATAGATAGATAGACAGATAGATACTGTAGGTAGGTAGGTAGGTAGGTAGAGATAGATAGATAGACAGACAGACAGATACTGTAGATAGGTAGGTAGATAGGTAGATAGATAGATAGGTGATAGGTAGATAGATAGATAGATAGATAGATAGATAGATAGATAGATAGATACTGTAGGTAGGTAGGTAGGTCAGTAGATAGATAGATAAATACTGTAGATAGTTAGGTAGGTAGGTAGGTAGGTAGGTAGGTAGATAGATAGATACTGTAGATAGATAGATAGATAGATAGATAGATAGATAGATAGATAGATAGATAGATAGATAGATACTGTAGATAGGTAGGTAGGTAGATAGATAGATAAATACTGTAGATAGCTAGCTAGCTAGCTAGCTAGCTAGGCAGGCAGACAGACAGACACAGACAGATAGATGGTAGACAGATGTAGCTAGGTACATACATATGTAGGTAGATAGATAAGAAATAGATAGAGAGATAGATGATAGATAGATAGAGTAAATAGATAGATAGAAATAGATAGATAGATAGAAATAGACAGACAGACAGACAGATGGCAGGGGGAGAGAGAGAGCGGGAGAGAGAGTGTGTGTTCAAGAGAGATACCATGCATGGAAACTCTGAGACTCTCCTGGGCAAGGCAACACAAACCCAGCACAAATCCCTACGGGGATCTCTCTACCCTCCTCTGTCCCATTGCCCAACAACTTGGAAAGGTCTGCATAGCTCTCCCCGGGGATCCAGCAACACCAGTTGAAAATGAAAATAGGCCGAACGCTTTATGACCATGTAAGAGGAGTAAACATGTCTTTCTGGTAAATCGCTCTCCCTCTTGGCGTGCTTGGCAAAAGCTTCTGTCGGAGAGTGCCAGTTTTAATCAACTCCCGGCTGCGGGTTACTTTGGAGCAAGAGCAAATGGCAAGCGTTGCCCTCTTTGCTTTCCTTCTGGCTGACTAATTGAACAAATTGTTAGCTCCGCGGAGCTCCCTTCCTTTAGACGTCTCGGAGTCCCTGGCTGCGAGCAAAACAGCGCAAAGTTCAAAGAAAGAACACGCTGTATTTGAGCCACGGCTGTCCCACGGAACGGGCATGGGCTCTGCCATCCAGACAAATAACTCATTGGGCATAATTCTGCCAGCTGGGCTCCAAGGCCCTTGTGGATTAAATCTCATCGGCAGCTTTTTGATGTGGAGGCTGCGACCGTCAAAACACTTAAAACGAAAACATTATATACCCACGTTTCTCCCAAAATAAGACCGGGTTTTATATTACTATTATTTTTGCTCCAAAAAGGTGCATTAGGGCTTATTTTTCTGTTAGGTCTTATTTTGGGGAAAATATGGTACTAAATATGATACTAAACATGTCCGACTGGCCGATAATCTTAACTAGGGCTTATTTTCAGAGTAGGGCTTATATTATGAGCATCCTGAAAAATCATATATGGGCTTATTTTCCGGTTGGTTCTTATTTTGGGGAAAATCATGGTACATACATTTGGGAAGAAACTTGGAATTGAGTTTAATTTTCCACAATTCAATCCCTCCTGTTTTTGTGAATATTTCCAACATGATAAAGATCACAATTTATGCCAGCCAGCATTAAATGTTTCTGACTGCTGATCATCTTAACTGGGGCTTATTTTGGGGGCTAGGGCTTATATTACAATCATCCTGAAAATTCATGTTTGGGTTTATTTTCCAGTTGGGTCTTATTTGGGGGGAAATACGGTACTAAATGTGCCTGAATGGCTCATCATCTTAACCGGGGCTTATTTTGGGGGTAGGGCTTATATTACAATCATCCTGAAAAATCATGTTAGGGCTTATTTTCCGGTTGGGTCTTATTCTGGGGGGAAATATGCTACATACACTTGGGAAGACACTTGGAATTGAATTGAATTTTCCACAATTCAACCCCTCCTGTTTTTGTGAATATTTCCAGTGTGGTAAAGATCACAGTTTATGCCAGCCAGCACAAACCTATGCCTGTGAAACATGGACAGTAACCACACAATCGATACAAAACATGGACACTACACAAAAGCTAGGGGCGGCACAAAGAGCCATGGAAAAAGATGTCTCCGCCTCACGAGACAAGATAGAAAGACACCCTGCAGGTGGATTAGAGAACAAAGGAAAGGACAGGACGCCATCAAGAGAGTAAAAGAATTGAAATGGAAATGGGCTGGTCACGTAGCAAGAAGAACTGATGGCAGGTGGATCAAGGCCTTCATAGAATGGAACTCGCTGGATCAAAAGCCTCCATGAATGAGTCTTAAAACAAGATGGACTGATGCCATCAGCAAGTATGGTAAGCCCAATTGGCCAAAGAAAGCTCAGGTCTGTTTTGGGTTGGAAACAGGTGGGAGAGGCATTCATCCTGCAGTAGACAGA